GTTCAGGTATTTCAGTGTATTATTGGGCTGGGTATTGTTGAGGTATTTCAGTGTATTGTTGGTTTGGGTATTGTTGAGGTATTTCTGTGTATTGTTTGTCTGGGTATTGTTGAGGTATTTCAGCATATTGTTAGGCTGGGTATTGTGGTGGTATTCCAGTGAATTGTTGGTTAAGGTATTCTTGAGGTATTTCAGTGTATTGTTGGTCTGGGTATTGTTGAGGTATTTCAGTGTATTGTTGGTCTGGGTATTGTTGAGGTATTTCAGTGTATTGTTGTGTATTGTTGGTTTAGGTATTGTTGAGGTATTTGAATGTATTGTTAGTCTGGGTATTGTTGAGATATTTCAGAGTATTGTTGAGGTATTTCAGTGAATTGTTGGGCTGGGTATTGTTGAGGTATTTCAGTATATTGTTGGTCTGGGTATTGTTCAGGTATTTAAGTGAATTGTTGGGCTGGGTATTGTTGAGGTATTTCAGTGTATTGTTGGTCTGGGTATTGTTGAGGTATTTCAGTGTATTTTTGGGCTTGGTATTGTTGAGGTATTTCAGTATATTGTTGGGTTGGGTATTGTGGTGGTATTCCAGTGAATTGTTGGTTTAGGTATTGTTGAGATATTTCAGTGTATTGTTGTTCTGGGTATTGTTGAGGTATTTCAGTGTATTGTTGGGTTTGGTATTGTTGAGGTATTTCAGTGTTTTGTGGGACTTGGTATGGTTGAGGTATTCAGTGTATTGTTGGGTTGGGTTACTTGGAGGTATTTCAGTGTATTGTTGGGTTGGGTTTTGTGGTGGTATTTCAGTGTATTGTTGGGCTTGGTATTGTTTTGGTATTCCAGTGTATTGTTGATCTGGGTATTGTTGAGGTATTTCAGTGAATTGTTGGTCTGGGTATTGTTGAGGTATTTCAGTATATTGTTGGGCTTGGTATTGTGGTGGTATTCCAGTGTATTGTTGTTCTGGGTATTGTGGATGTATTCCAGTGAATTGTTGGTTTAGGTATTGTTGATATATTTCAGTGTATTGTTCTTCTGGGTATTGTTGAGGTATTTGAGTGTATTATTAGGCCGGGTATTGTTGAGGTATTTGAGTGTATTGTTGGTCTGGGTATTGATGAGGTATTTCAGTGTATTTCAGTGTATTGTTGAAGTGTGTATTGTTGAGATATTTCAGTGTATTGTTGGTTTGGGTATTGTTGAGGATATTTCAGTATATTGTTGGGTTGGGTATTGTGGAGGTATTTCAGTGTATTGTTGGTCTGGGTATTGTTGAGGTATTTCAGTGTATTGTTGGGCCAGGGATTATGTAGGTATTTCAGTGTATTGTTGGTTTGGGTATTGTTGAGGTATTTCAGTGTATTGTTTGGTTGGGTTTTGTGGTGGTATTTCAGTGTATTGTTGGGTTGGGTATCGTGGAGGTATTTCAGTGTATTGTTGGTCTGGGTATTGTTGAGGTATTTCAGTGTATTGTTGGGCTGGGTATTGTGGTGGTATTTCAGTGTATTGTTGGTCTGGGTATTGTTGAGGTATTTCAGTTTATTGTTTGGTTGGGTATTGTGGAGGTATTTCAGTGTATTGTTGATCTGGGTATTGTTGAGGTATTTCAGTGTATTGTTGGTCTGGGTATTGTTGAGGTATTTCAGTGTATTGTTGGGTTGGGTATTGTTGAGGTATTTCAGTGTATTGTTGGGTTGGGTATTGTTGAGGTATTTCAGTGTATTGTTGGGTTGGGTATTGTTGAGGTATTTCAGTATATTGTTGGGTTGGGTTGTTGTGGTGTATTTCAGTGTATTGTTGGGTCTGGGTATTGTTGAGGTATTTCAGTGTATTGTTGGTCTGGGTATTGTTGAGGTATTTCAGTGTATTGTTGGTCTGGGTATTGTTGAGGTATTTCAGTGTATTGTTGGGTTGGGTATTGTTGAGGTATTTCAGTGTATTGTTGGGTTGGGTATTGTGGTGGTATTTCAGTGTATTGTTGATCTGGGTATTGTTGAGGTATTTCAGTGTATTGTTGGTTTGGGTATTGTTGAGGATATTTCAGTATATTGTTGGGTTGGGTATTGTTGAGGTATTTCAGTGTATTGTTGATCTGGGTATTGTTGAGGTATTTCAGTGTATTGTTGGGCTGGGTATTGTTGAGGTATTTCAGTATATTGTTGGGTTGGGTATTGTTGAGGTATTTCAGTATATTGTTGGGCTGGGTATTGTTGAGGTATTTCAGTGTATTGTTGATATTTCAGAGTTTGATTGGGTATTGTTGAGGTATTTCAGTGTTTTGTTGGGTTGGGTATTGTTGAGGTATTTCAGTGTATTGTTGGGTTGGGTATTGTTGAGGTATTTCAGTATATTGTTGGGTTGGGTATTGTTGAGGTATTTCAGTGTATTGTTGTTCTGGGTATTGTTGAGGTATTTCAGTGTATTGTTGGTCTGGGTATTGTTGAGGTATTTCAGTATATTGTTGGGTTGGGTATTGTTGAGGTATTTCAGTGTTTTGTTGGGTTGGGTATCGGTGAGATATGACAGTTTTTTTTACCATTCTTTCCTATACAATGCCTCCGACCATTCATTGCTCCCTCAACACTGAGCCTGCCATCAGTGGTGTTATATCTGTTGAAAGCAGTGTTGACTGAGAAGACATCTACTTGTGTTGCAGGCCGACTCAGCACTGCCAGCTCCTCCACACAGAAGGAATATGCCTTTGAGGTGAGTTTGCACAATGGTGGAGCAACTATATTTATGCTCTAAGGTCACCTCAGTTAACTTTCTGACAATTCACTGATTTACAGGCAAAGGTCAACTCTGGCTTCCTGTCTGTGTCCCTACATCCATTGGTGGGACAGGAGACAGTCAGACAGAAGTTTATTTCAGAAATAGGCCGTTACATCCATGTGTTGTGACCTTGATATTACAACCCTGTGTTGTGACCCTGACATGACATCCATGTGTTTTGACCTTGACATTACATCCATGTGTTGTGACCTTGACATTACATCCATCTGTTGTAACCCTGACATTACATCCATGTGTTGTGACCTTGACATTTCATCCATGTGTTGTGACCTTGACATTACATCTACGTGTTGTGACCTTGACATTACATCTATGTGTTGTGACCTTGACATTACATCTCTGTGTTGTAACCCTGACATTACATCCATGTGTTGTGACCCTGACATTAAATCCCTGTGTTGTGACCTTGACATTAAATCCCTGTGTTGTGACCCTGACATTACATCCATGTGTTTTGACCTTGACATTACATCTCTGTGTTGTGACCTTGATATTACATCCATGTGTTGTGACCTTGACATTACATCCCTGTGTTGTGACCCTGACATAACATCCATGTGTTGTGACCTTGACATTACATCCATGTGTTGTGACCTTGACATTACATCCATGTGTTGTGACCTTGACATTACATCCATGTGTTGTGACCTTGATATTACATCCATGTGTTTTGACCTTGACATTACATCCATGTGTTGTGACCTTGACATTACATCCATGCGTTGTGACCTTGACATTACATCCATGTGTTGTGACCTTGATATTACATCCATGTGTTGTGACCCTGACATTACATCCATGTGTTCTGACCTTGACATTACATCCATGTGTTGTGACCCTGACATTAAATCCATGTGTTGTGACCTTGACGTTACATCCATGTGTTGTGACCTTGACATTACATCTCTGTGTTGTGACCCTGACATTACATCCATGTGTTGTGACCTTGACATTACATCCTTGTGTTGTGACCTTGACATTACATCTATGTGTTGTGACCTTGACATTACATCCATGTGTTGTGACCTTGACATTACATCCCTGTGTTCTGACCTTGACATTACATCCATGTGTTGTGACCTTGATATTACATCCATGTGTTGTGACCTTGACATTACATCCATGTGTTGTGACCTTGACATTACATCCCTGTGTTGTGACCCTGACATTACATCCCTGTGTTCTGACCTTGACATTACATCCATGTGTTGTGACCTTGACATTACATCCATGTGTTGTGACCTTGACATTACATCTCTGTGTTGTAACCTTGACGTTATATCCCTGTGTTGTGACCCTGATATTACATCTTGATCATGTGACCGACGTTACATTCCTTTGATGTGATCCCAATATCTGGACAAGTGTGACAAACATGCAAACAGATGCATGCACACACAAGTATGCACACACAAACACATACATACCTGAACTTACACATGCGCACACACAAACACACATATACATGTGTTCCAGACTGACCCGGTACCGCAACCATGGTGTAGTGGTCAGAGTGTCCGCCCAGGGAGCAGAAGGTCGTGGGTTTGATCCTGTGCTGCGTCATACCAAAATACATCAAAATATGGTACTTGTTGTTCCCTGCCTGGCGCCCGGCATTAATGGGTATAACAAGGACTGGTCGGCTCGGAGTCAGTATAAAGTGTCTGAGTGAGATATTCATGCTTAACTGCGGTATGGTATCTCAGTGAGCTAGCACTATAAAACTAGTACAAGCAGCCACACCTACACGCATGCACTTCGTCATAAATATTACTGAGTGCGGCGTAAAACTAAACTCGCTAACTCACTTTGTCATATGAGCAAAATATCCTTAAGTGCGACGTTAAATCCCATTTCACCTCACCCACCACCAGACTGAACCCCTCATCTTATCTTTTCAGATGGCATGCTCCAACATCCGATATGGAGTGGGCGTTACGGCAGAAGTTGGAATGGTAAGATGTAGACAGTTGTGTCCGAACAGTACGGCATATCTGTTGTTTGTTTAAGACAGTCAGATAACTGTCTTATGCTTTAATGTATTTGTACCTACCATAAAAATCCTTTTTGTCCATTTCCATGGCAGCAAGTTTTATTTTGCCTCTGTTCTTATTGTCGTTTTTGTCGAAAGAGTACAAGGTATTCTTTCATGAAACTGGGCACAAACAAAACCCATGTTGTCAACTGCAGCCTTTTGCTATTAGAGATTTAAAAAAATTGTATTTTGTCCTTTGACTTTGATATTGGTGTGTACCTGACATAGAAGTACAAAGTTACGAATCCCAATTCCATGTTATTGTTTTTATAGCTCAATAACTACTCTTGTATACGGACAGACAGATTAGACAGAAATTCTCTCATCAAGTTGGACTTGAAGTAATTGTCAGATGAATTGTTCTTTCAAATTTGTGGGGGTCAGGGGGGGATTTGTCATCTTCTGATGACCCTTGTTAGTACTTTTTTGGCACTGGGGTAGCCTGGTGGTTAAAGCGTCTGTCACACCAAAGACCCGGGTTCAAATCCCCACATGGGCACGATGTGTGAAGCCTATTTCTGGTGTCCGTGATATTGGTGGAATATTGCTAAAAGCGGCATAAAACCATACTCACTGTTAGTAATTTTCAGTGTTGATTAGTCACAAACAAAAGATGAGTGCTGCCAGTTGATTACATTGTCTATATACCAGCATGCAAATCAGTTTTGTGTGTTGAGAATCTGACTTGTCTTCCAGGATTGCAAGAACCTTGGTGCCCGCAGTGTGTGTGTCATGACGGACAGCAACCTGGTTGACCTGTCCCCAGTGAAGATGACCCTGGAGTCTCTCAACAGAGAGGGCATCCCCTACAAGGTGTATGACAAGTGCCGTGTTGAACCCACAGATGAGAGGTGAAACTTCAGTCCCTCTTAATCAGTTTACTGCCTTGAATATCCTGTCACTGACCGGGTGACTGATCCAGCTTATCTGAGGCCCTGAGTGTGGAGAGTTGGTGTGCCAGAAATCAAGGCTAATTTCTTATCATGCCCATACTCGTAGGTTTTGTGGAAAACATTTGGGACCAGCATCACTTCTTGCTCATGGAGCTGACACTCTCTCACTCACTCACTCACTCACTCACTCACTCACTCGCTGATCATTCTATCTTATGTATGTAAAACGTTCTATCCTGTGTACAGTTACCCGTTCTATCCTGTTTACAGTTACCCATTCTATCCTGTTTACAGTTACCCGTTCTATCCTGTGTACAGTTACCCGTTCTATCCTGTTAACAGTTACCCGTTCTATCCTGTTTACAGTTTCCCGTTCTATCCTGTTAACAATTACCCTTTCTATCCTGTTTCTACAATTAACCTTCTGCCATCTTCACAGTCAAACATTTGCATTGTTTCCAGTTTCAAAGATGCCATCAGGTTTGCGAAGGAGGGTGACTTTGACATGTACCTGGCGGTAGGGGGTGGGTCCGTCATGGACACATGCAAGGCTGCCAACCTGTACGCCACCAACCCCAGCGCTGACTTCCTCGACTACGTGAATGCACCGATCGGGAAAGGCCTGCCCGTCACACACACACTGAAACCATTGATAGCTGGTGAGTGGAAGAAGGTGTTCCATGTGTTGGCAGTGATGTTGTCTGTGGTTTTCTACTGTGGTGGAGCTAAAGACTCACTACAGGACTCATCACACAAATCATTTCGCTGCATCTCACCTAACGACATGACCTCATCTGATCTCACCAAGGTGATCCATAATGTTGCTCATGCTGTTAACCACCGGTTCATCTGAACCAGACTCATGTAAATGACATACAGGTTGTCATGACGATAGAGTTCAACAACTATTCCTCCATGTCCTATAACTCCTCACTCCCACACTCTCAATCACTCGCACTAGAGTTCACTCAACACTAACACAATCACAATGTCCTATCATTCTTGCCTCCCTTTCGCCATAACTCACTCAATGAATTCCTGGATAACAGTTTTTCTCACACTCAATTACTCATTGTTCAGCCACTCAATTACTTGTTCAGTCACTCATTTATTGTTTGCTCTCTCAATTACTTGTTCAGTGACTTAATTACTCATTGTTCACTCCCTCAATTACTCATTGTTCACTCTCTCCCAATTCCACATGGTCACAATGTGTTAAGCCCATTTCTGGTGTCCCCGTGCAGTTGCGTTGAATTATTCAGTCACTCAGTTACTCATTGTTCAGTCACTCAGTTACTCATTGTTCAGTCACTCAGTTACTCATTGTTCACTCACAATTACTCATCAGTTTACTCATTGTTCAGTCACTCAGTTACTCATTGTTCAGTCACTCAGTTACTCATTGTTCAGTCACTCAGTTACTCATTGTTCAGTCACTCAGTTACTCATTGTTCACTCATCAGTCACTCAGTTACTCATTGTTCAGTCACTCAGTTACTCATTGTTCAGTCACTCAGTTACTCATTGTTCAGTCACTCAGTTACTCATTGTTCAGTCACTCTCAGTTACTCATTGTTCAGTCACTCAGTTACTCATTGTTCAGTCACTCAGTTACTCATTGTTCAGTCACTTACTCAGTTACTCATTGTTCAGTCACTCAGTTACTCATTGTTCAGTCACTCAGTTACTCATTGTTCAGTCACTCAGTTACTCATTGTTCAGTCACTCAGTTACTCATTGTTCAGTCACTCAGTTACTCATTGTTCAGTCACTCAGTTACTCATTGTTCAGTCACTCAGTTACTCATTGTTCAGTCACTCAGTTACTCATTGTTCAGTCACTCAGTTACTCATTGTTCAGTCACTCAGTTACTCATTGTTCAGTCACTCAGTTACTCATTGTTCAGTCACTCAGTTACTCATTGTTCAGTCACTCAGTTACTCATTGTTCAGTCACTCAGTTACTCATTGTTCAGTCACTAGTTACTCATTGTTCAGTCACTCAGTTACTCATTGTTCAGTCACTCAGTTACTCATTGTTCAGTCACTCAGTTACTCATTGTTCAGTCACTCAGTTACTCATTGTTCAGTCACTCAGTTACTCATTGTTCAGTCACTCAGTTACTCATTGTTCAGTCACTCAGTTACTCATTGTTCAGTCACTCAGTTACTCATTGTTCAGTCACTCAGTTACTCATTACTTACTCATTGTTCAGTCACTCAGTTACTCATTGTTCAGTCACTCAGTTACTCATCATTCAGTCACTCAGTTACTCATTGTTCACTCAGTTACTCATTGTTCACTCACTCAGTTACTCATTGTTCAGTCACTCAGTTACTCATTGTTCAGTCACTCAGTTACTCATTGTTCAGTCACTCAGTTACTCATTGTTCAGTCACTCAGTTACTCATTCACTCATTGTTCAGTCACTCAGTTACTCATTGTTCAGTCACTCAGTTACTCATTGTTCAGTCACTCAGTTACTCATTGTTCAGTCACTCAGTTACTCATTGTTCAGTCACTCAGTTACTCATTGTTCAGTCACTCAGTTACTCATTGTTCAGTCACTCAGTTACTCATTGTTCAGTCACTCAGTTACTCATTGTTCAGTCACTCAGTTACTCATTGTTCAGTCACTCAGTTACTCATTGTTCAGTCACTCAGTTACTCATTGTTCAGTCACTCAGTTACTCATTGTTCAGTCACTCAGTTACTCATTGTTCAGTCACTCAGTTACTCATTGTTCAGTCACTCAGTTACTCATTGTTCACTCCCTCAGTTACTCATTGTTCAGTTACTCATTGTTCAGTCACTCAGTTACTCATTGTTCAGTCACTCAGTTACTCATTGTTCAGTCCCTCAGTTACTCATTGTTCAGTCCCTCAGTTACTCATTGTTCAGTCACTCAATTACTCATTGTTCAGTCACTCATTTGTTCAGTCACTCAGTTACTCATTGTTCAGTCACTCACTTAGTTACTCATTGTTCAGTCACTCAGTTACTCATTGTTCAGTCACTCAGTTACTCATTGTTCAGTCACCAGTTACTCATTGTTCAGTCACTCAGTTACTCATTGTTCAGTCACTCAGTTACTCATTGTTCAGTCACTCAGTTACTCATTGTTCAGTCACTCAGTTACTCATTGTTCAGTCACTCAGTTACTCATTGTTCAGTCACTCAGTTACTCATTGTTCAGTCACTCAGTTACTCATTGTTCAGTCACTCAGTTACTCATTGTTCAGTCACTCAGTTACTCATTGTTCAGTCACTCAGTTACTCATTGTTCAGTCACTCAGTTACTCATTGTTCAGTCACTCAGTTACTCATTGTTCAGTCCTCAGTTACTTACTCATTGTTCAGTCACTCAGTTACTCATTGTTCAGTCACTCAGTTACTCATTCAGTCACCTCAGTTCACTCAGTTACTCATTGTTCAGTCACTCTCAGTTACTCATTGTTCAGTCACTCAGTTACTCATTGTTCAGTCACTCAGTTACTCATTGTTCAGTCAGTTACTCATTGTTACTCATTGTTCAGTCACTCAGTTACTCATTGTTCAGTCACTCAGTTACTCATTGTTCAGTCACTCAGTTACTCATTGTTCAGTCACTCAGTTACTCATTGTTCAGTCACTCAGTTACTCATTGTTCAGTCACTCAGTTACTCATTGTTCAGTCACTCAGTTACTCATTGTTCAGTCACTCAGTTACTCATTTTCAGTCACTCAGTTACTCATTGTTCAGTCACTCAGTTACTCATTGTTCAGTCACTCAGTTACTCATTGTTCAGTCACTCAGTTACTCATTGTTCAGTCACTCAGTTACTCATTGTTCAGTCACTCAGTTACTCATTGTTCAGTCACTCAGTTACTCATTGTTCAGTCACTCAGTTACTCATTGTTCAGTCACTCAGTTACTCATTGTTCAGTCACTCAGTTACTCATTGTTCAGTCACTCAGTTACTCATTGTTCAGTCACTCAGTTACTCATTGTTCAGTCCCTCAGTTACTCATTGTTCACTCCCTCAGTTACTCATTGTTCACTCAGTTACTTACTCATTGTTCAGTCACTCAGTTACTCATTGTTCACTCATTGTTCAGTCACTCAGTTACTCATTGTTCAGTCACTCAGTTACTCATTGTTCAGTCATTGTTCAGTCACTCAGTTACTCATTGTTCAGTCAGTTACTCATTGTTCAGTCAGTTACTCATTGTTCAGTTACTCATTGTTCAGTCACTCAGTTACTCATTGTTCATTGTTCAGTCACTCATTGTTCAGTCACTCAGTTACTCATTGTTCAGTCACTCAGTTACTCATTGTTCAGTCACTCAGTTACTCATTGTTCAGTCACTCAGTTACTCATTGTTCAGTCACTCAGTTACTCATTGTTCAGTCCTCTCAGTACTCATTGTTCACTCATTGTTCAGTCACTCAGTTACTCATTGTTCAGTCACTCAGTTACTCATTGTTCAGTCACTCAGTTACTCATTGTTCAGTCACTCAGTTACTCATTGTTCAGTCACTCAGTTACTCATTGTTCAGTCACTCAGTTACTCATTTGTTCAGTCTGACTGTTCAGTTACTCATTGTTCAGTCAGTTCCACTCAGTTACTCATTGTGAGTCACTCAGTTACTTTTTGTTCAGTCACTCACTTACTTACATTGGACCCGTCAAGGTCCGGGTTACTCATTGATCTTCAGTCACTCATGCTTGTCATTGTTCAGGCAACTAAGAAGCATATGTGTGGTCAGGCTCAGTTACTCATTGTTCATGTCATCAGGTTCCCAATTGTGCAGATCTCATGCTCATGATGTTGATTACTGGATTTTCTGTGTTTGATTTCCTGGAGCTGAAAGCTAAGACAGGTCTGTCATTCCTCTTTTACTAGTTTCATCAAAGTAGTCTGGAAAATGGTGTAATATGTTGGCCAAAACTTTAGAACTCCAGAATATATTTATAAAATTACATCAAATAAATGAAAACTGTAAAAGACGCTCAAGTAAATTGTTTGAAGTGTATGAAACCAATCAATTGTCAAGGGGGGCAAATGTTCATTCACCATTTCATTTGCACTTGGCTAGTCATTCATTTCCAGTTACACCCCAGTGTTGTGTTTGTCAAACAGGTATATCCTGTGCTGTGCTTGTCACACAGGTATATCCCTGTGTTGTTCTTGTCATACAGCTTTACCTGTATGTTGTGTTTGTCATACAGGTATATCCCTGTGTTGTGCTTGTTATACAGGTATATCCCTGTGCTGTGCTTGTCACACAGGTATATCCCTGTGTTGTGTTTGTCATACAGGTATATCCCTGTGTTGTGCTTGTCATACAGGTATATCCCTGTGCTGTGCTTGTCACACAGGTATATCCTGGTGTTGTGTTTGTCATACAGGTATATCCCTGTGTTGTGTTTATCATACAGGTATATCCCTGTGTTGTGTTTGTCATACAGGTATATATTTGTGTTATGTTTGTCATACAGGTATATATCTGTGTTGTGTTTGTCATACAGGTATATCCCTGTGTTGTGTTTGTCATACAGGTATATATCTGTGTTGTGTTTGTCATACAGGCATTTCCCAGCGTGCACTGCGCCCGACTCTTGGCATCGTGGATCCTCTTCATCTGAACACCTGTCCTGAGCGTGTGATGGCCTACAGTGGCATCGATGTCTTGTGGTTAGTCACATGATCTTACTGTTGCGTGTTACTGTGGTCTTGCTGTTGTGTGTTGCTGTGGTCTTGTTGTTGTGTGTTACTGTGGTCTTGTTGTGTGTTACTGTGGTCTTGCTGTTGTGTTACTGTGGTCTTGCTGTTGCATGTTACTGTGGTCTTGCTGTTGCATGTTACTGTGGTCTTGCTGTTGTGTGTTGCTGTGATCTTGCTGTTGTGTGTTGCTGTGGTCTTGCTGTTGTGTGTTACTGTGATCTTGCTGTTGTGTGTTACTGTGGTCTTGCTGTTGTGTGTTACTGTGGTCTTGCTGTTGTGTGTTACTGTGATCTTGCTGTTGTGTGTTGCTGTGGTCTTGCTGTTGTGTGTTACTGTTAAGTGTTGTGTGTTACTGTTAAGTTGCTGTTGTGTGTTACTGTGGTCTTGCTGTTGTGTGTTACTGTGGTCTCGCTGCTGTGTGTTACTGTTAAGTTGCTGTTGTGAGTTACTGTGGTCTGGCTGTTGTGTGTTGCTGTGGTCTTGTGTTGTGTGTTACTGTGGTCTTGCTGTTGTGTGTTACTGTGGTCTTGCTGTTGTGTTACTGTGGTCTTGCTGTTGCATGTTACTGTGGTCTTGCTGTTGTGTGTTACTGTGATCTTGCTGTTGTGTGTTGCTGTGGTCTTGCTGTTGTGTGTTACTGTGATCTTGCTGTTGCATGTTACTGTGGTCTCCCTGCTGTGTGTTACTGTTAAGTTGGTGTTGTGTGTTACTGTGGTCTGGCTGCATGTGTGTTTGTGTGTTACTGTGGTCTTGCTGTTGTGTGTTACTGTTATGTGTTACTGTTGTGTGTTACTGTTAAGTCTGCTGCTGTGTGTTACTGTTACTGTGGTCTTGCTGTTGTGTGTTACTATGGTCTTGCTGCTGTGTGTTACTGTTAAGTTGCTGTTGTGTGTTACTGTGGTCTTGCTGCTGTGTGTTACTGTGGTCTTGCTGTTGTATGTTACTGTGGTCTTACTGTTGTGTGTTACTGTAAAGTTGTTGCTATATGTAATGGTGAAGTGTTGACTGTTACTGTGAAGTTACTGTTGACTGTTACTGTTAAGTAACTGTTGTCTGTTACTGTGAAGTTACTGTTGACTGTTACTGTGGAAGTTACTGTTGACTGTTACTGTGGAGTTGTTATCCCCAACGCCGCTTTTGACTATTAAAAATGGACTCCGAAGTTGCTGTTGACTGTTACGTCCGTTACTGTCCGCGACTTGTCTTTTCCGACAGAACTCTAAAACCGTTACTGTTGACTTCTTCACTGTGGAGTTGGCACATACATGGATCTGGTGGTGTGCTGGGGTAGTTTTGGAATTCTGGATTAAATATTTTGGCGCTTTCCATGGCAACAAGTTTGACTTTGACTGAAATTAGTGGTAGTGTCCTTTCTCGGATCAGAACTCTAAAACCGTTCAATATGTCTTCACCAAACTTGGCACATAGATAGATCTGGTGGTGTACTGGTGCCTTTTGGTAGTTTTGGAATTCTGCATCAAATATTTTTGGTGTTTCCATGGCAACAAGTTCGACTTAAACTGAAATTGGTGGTAGTGCTCTTTTCCGGTGCAGAACTCTAAAACCGTTCAATATTTCTTCACCAAACTTGGCACATAGATAGATCTGGTGGTGTACTGGTGCCTTTTGGTAGTTTTGGAATTCTGAATAAAATATTTTTGTCATTTCCATGGCAACAAGTTCGACTTAAACTGAAATTGGTGGTAGTGCTCTTTTCCGGAGCAGAACTCTAATACCGTTCAATATTTCTTCACCAAACTTGGCACATAGATTGATCTGGTGGTGTACTGGTGCCTTTTGGTAGTTTTGGATTTCTGAATAAAATATTTTGTCATTTCCATGGCAACAAGTTTGACTTAAACTGAAATTGGTGATAGTGCTCCTTTCTGGAGCAGAACTTTAAAAACCTTTCAATACTCTCCTTCCACTTTTCTATATACACACCTAAATATTTGACATAATCATAACTCGTACACATAATCATGAAGAGTATTTTGCCATTGCGGGGGATATTGATGACTTTGTCTTCTTGTTGCTATATGTAATGGTGAAGTTACTGTTGACTGTTACTGTGAAGTTACTGTTGACTGTTACTGTGAAGTTACTGTTGACTGTTACTGTGAAGTTTCTGTTGACTGTTACTGTGAAGTTACTGTTCTGTGTTACTGTGAAGTTACTGTTGACTGTTACTGTGAAGTTACTGTTGACTGTTACTGTGAAGTTACTGTTGACTGTTACTGTGAAGTTACTGTTGACTGTTACTGTGAAGTTGCTGTTCTGTGTTACTGTGGAGTTACTGTTGACTGTTACTGTGAAGTTGCTGTTCTGTGTTACTGTGAAGTTACTGTTGACTGTTACTGTGAAGTTGCTGTTCTGTGTTACTGTGAAGTTACTGTTGACTGTTACTGTGAAGTTACTGTTGACTGTTACTGTGAAGTTACTGTGAAGTTGCTGTTCTGTGTTACTGTGAAGTTACTGTGAAGCTGTTACTGTTACTGTGAAGTTGCTGTTCTGTGTTACTGTGAAGTTACTGTTGACTGTTACTGTGAAGTTGCTGTTCTGTGATACTGTGAAGTTACTGTTGACTGTTACTGTGAAGTTGCTGTTCTGTGTTACTGTGAAGTTACTGTTGACTGTTACTGTGAAGTTACTGTTGACTGTTACTATCGAGTTGTTGCTATATGTAATGGTGAAGTTGCTGTAATGTGAGATGAAGTAACTGTTGACAGCCATGCCCTGGAGTGCTACACAACTATGAGTTACACAGACAGAGATCGCCCCAGCAACCCCCTACTGCGCCCTGCCTACCAAGGGTTTAACCCAATCAGTGACATCTGGGCACAGCATGCACTCCGCATGACAGCCAAATATATCAAGAGGTGGGTTATGTGCTATTTTCTTCTCTCAGGGATTAAGGTGTGGCTAGATTTGTCAGCACCCTAACCAAGGTGGTAATGCTGCATCATGCTGATGAATCTATATCCAAGTTAAGAGCTGATCTGCAGCCCTGTTACATCCACTCATACATCTCCCTATCAAATGCATTCAAAGAGGAAAAGATTTTGGCCAATTGCTGGCCAGGGCACACCATGGCAGCTGCTGAAGGTGACTATTGATCATTCTTGCACAGTGTCATCCTGAAAGACAAACAGTCGACCTACGTGGCTTACATTGAGATGATGTTCCATTATTACTCTCCAGTGACCTTTACTTGCACCTGCATATGGGCTTGACTCAGTCAAACATTGGCTTGGCTCAGTCAAACATTGGCTTGACTCAGTCAAACATTGGCTTGACTCAGTCAAACATTGGCTTGGCTCAGTCAAACATTGGCTTGACTCAGTCAAACATTGGTTTGGCTCAGTCAAACATTGGTTTGGCTCAGTCAAACATTGGCTTGACTTTGGTTTGTACAAAGCCCTGTATCCCTATGCCTATAAATGAGTAGTGTTGGGAATTGAATGAAATCTCACAATTGATGATTGCTTTATTACCAACAAACAATCATTGAAAAAATTGGTTAGCGTCATTTTTCAGATTTTCCTATCCAGGTTGTTATTGCAGATATGTATAACATGATGCAACTTTCTACTTTAAAGTGATGACTAATATATCATGAACATAAACTTCCTGGAGCCTTCAAGAAATATTCAGTCATGACTTTTCAGTTAGTGAAGTGAGTTTTCTAAGAATTAAACAAATTTTCAGGCCCTGACAACTTCGAAGATATGTTCCATCGTCAAGTGGTTCGATCCCCGACTGCGTCATACCAAAACACGTTAAAATATGGTACTTGTTGGTCCCTGCCTGGTGCTCGGCATTAATGGGTACAAGGACTGGTCGGCTCGGAGTCAGTATAATGTGTCTGAGTGGGGTATTCATGCTTCACTGCGGCATGGTATCTCAGTGGGCTAGCACTATAAAACAAGCTTTAGCCTAGGCTAGTACAAGCTGCCGCACATACACATACACACGCATGGCCATGCTCTCATGGAGATAACTGCTTGTACACCACTTCCAGTTGTCTGATGCATGACTCTAGTAGCCAGAGGAACTTTACAGCAGTTAGATTCATCATTTAAGCTAGATTTAGAAACTTCTGGTTCCTCCCCAATGAATCCTGCATCACTCCTGCCACTGACCTGGGGTTCCCTGGACACTGGCAATCGTCAACAGTTCTGGTTTGTTGGTTCCTGTTCCATAATGACAGGCAGTGAAACATTGAAGTCACTGCCACACTCAAACACTATACATTACAGACGCTGCATCATAGTTCACAAACAAACATAAATGACATGAAGAACAGCACAGCTGTATGATAAGCAGAATCAATACAATTGGCAGAAATAATTGTCTGCAGAGATGAATCAACCATCCTTAGGTTATAGGCACATTATGGCACTATTGTATGCAGTCCATGCACACTGTGGGTTGTGTTGTAGTTTTACAGACTTACATTCTTGCATTAACTTTGTATTTACATTTATCTTTCATGATCCTCTGCGTTTTTTAAGAGTATAGTTTGATATAGTTGGTGTTAGGTTATAGCTTATGTATTGTCTTATAGCTTATGTATTGTTTGACATTGTATGATAGTTTGACAATAGCTGATGTATGATAATAATAGCTTATACAATATGTGAATATTGTGATATGGGATAATTGCTTATACAATATGTGATATGGGATAATTGCTTATACAATATGATATGGGATAATAATAGCTTATACAATATGTGATATGGGATAATTGCTTATATACAATATGTGATATGGATAATATGTGATATGGGATAATTGCTTATACAATATGTGATATGGGATAATAGCTTATACAATATGTGATATGTAATAAAGATACAATGTGGATAATAATTGCTTATACAATATGTGATATGGGATAATAGCTTATACAATATGTGATATGGGATAATGGCTTATACAATATGTAATATGGGATAATAGCTTATACAATATGTGATATGGGATAATTGCTTATACAATATGTGATATGGGATAATTGCTTATACAATATGTGATATGGGATAATTGCTTATACAATATGTGATATGGGATAATGGCTTATACAATATGTGATATGGGATAATAGCTTATACAATATGTGATATGGGATAATGGCTTATACAATATGTGATATGGGATAATTGTTTGATATTGTTTGTTGTTATGTGGTGGTGTGCGGTCCTGTGCATAGAGCTCAGGTCGCAAATCAGTTGAAGTTAAGCAATGTTGGGCACAGAGAGTCCTTGGATGGGGGACCGTGTTTGGCAGTTTGGCTCCTGTGAGTTTCTAGGACTTCAGTCCTGCCCCACAGCGAAGCACATGTGATACATGTGGATTAACCTTAGGCAAGTGAGTTTGTCCAAAATTGCCTCTTTTCACCCAGCAGAAAATGGGTACCCGATGGGATGTCATGTGACTATAACCTTCCAGCACCTCACAGGCAGCCTGGGTTATCTGAGTTAATATTGAACTGTCTATGCTATGAGCATGCTGTCGGTGTGGATTTACTGCAATATAAATGGACTAATTATCATTATTATTATTAATTCTGCTTGTCAGAGCTGTATACGACCGTGGTGACGAAGAGGCGCGGTCTTCCATGCATCTTGCCAGTTCCTAT